GTATGTGTGTGTGTGATTTAATTTTCATAAAACGAAAAATTTACAATCTTAGAAAAATCTTATAGTTAAAACATTCGTAACATAGCTAAAAAAAATTATTGAAATAAAAAGATTGCATTTTATAGAAAATGAACAATACATTCATGATTTTTGATCAAACATTTCAAGATAATCTTTTTCACAAAAAATGTCAAATGTTGCAGAAAAGCTATTTTTTTGCGTATTATACGTTAATTATTTCGAAACTGATGTGATGGAGAAATTTGGTTTGCAGTATCACTCAGGCGTTTTCAGTATTCAAGAATCCAAGCAAGAATCTATAAGAAATACCTTATTATGTAATTTTTTGTATTTATGTATTTGTGTTATTCACAGACTTCTATAAGTAGATTGCTGATTTCGCCGCCATGTTTGAAGATTGGGCAGCGCCGTGTTTAATTTGTCATGCTTACACATATATAAATCATACATATATAAATCATACAGATAATTATTGCTCAGTTTACGTCATATATTCACAGACTGGACGCATGTGTTTACAAGAAACAAAACAAGGATAGCTCAGGTTCTCTTTCTATTGCATTGAGTCAGCAGTCTACTTAGAAGTCTGTGGTGTTACTTGAACTTAGGATAATAATAAATTATTAATAATTAATTGATAATAATATTGTACAAATGATCTTGTTTTTTTTATTCAGTAAATTATCTTTGTTAAACATAATTATGTAATTATTTAATATGACCAGAATAATATGAGAGCACCTGGAAGATAATAGAAAATAGAATAAGACCAGTTGTTTAATCAGAGAGAATTTTAATTTTACATATAAAACATACTTTAAGTGCTTTTAATAAAAAAATGAGAGAATTTTTGGTTCATTTGTGCATAAAATTGAGGATATTTTAGTATATAATAACATATTTTAATTGATTTTTTGTTACAAATAATATTGTATAATTTTATTTAAATATTAAAATATTTATTATAAACAAATGAATAAAAAACAAATGTTGTGAGCGTATTTCGCACATTGTTGTGTTCTAATTAATATAAATTAAATTTAAGATTTGTGCTAGTATTGCTGATATGTTTATTTCTTATATGTGAAGAAAAGTTAAAATAATGTTATCTAAACTAACTGAATATCTATGATTTTCATCATCGATTTATCTTTTTTTCAT